AAATTGCCAGTTTTCTGGAGTGGCAGTACAATTTTACTCTTTGACCAGTTATGTGTTGAGAGTTAACAATTTCTCTACATCCTCACTGGCACTTTTTTTCACCTAAAAAAATTATTATAGCCATCTTACTAGGTGTGAATTGGAATCTCAGTGTGGTTTTGATTTGCATTTCCCTAATGCCTAGTAATGTTGAACATCTTTTCATGTGCTTGTTGGCCATTTATATATCTTTTCTGAAGGAAGAATCATCTGTTGAAGTCCTTTGCCCATTTTTTTTTTAACCTGGGTTGTTGTCTTTTCATTTTTGAGTTATAGAAGCTCTTTATTCTGTACACTGCTTTTAAGATCTATGATTTACAGATATTTTCTTCTCTATTACCTGTCTTTTAATGCAACCCATCTATAATTGTTCACATTCTTTTTAAACATCTTGTTGGCAAGATAGCCCACTGTCATTGCTTTCTCATGCATCTTGTAACTAGTACATAGCTAGTCTAATGAAACTAGACTGAAGTCAAGCCAGTAGACTTGTGAAGGACAGGACTAGGTTCTCCTCCCAGGCCTCATATTTGATGACAGCTTGTCTCTTGCTATTTTACAAGTCACCAGCATAAAACCTAGTTACTAAATATATTTGTTCCTCTCTTCTGCCTTAATGCATTCATTAGGTCTTCTCCTTTGCTCCTGAATAGGGGTTGATAATCTAATTATGTGGCTCAGATTGCATTATTTAACTTAGGCTTTGACAGGTAGCAGGATTTTGGTGTTTTTTGTTTTTTTAATGTTGCATTTAAAAAAACGTTAGAAAGTGCATTTACTTTTGAGAAAATTAGGTTCTATTAAAGCTTAATATGTTTGTAAAATACATAGGAAAGCTTTTAGGGTGTGTTAAGCATAAATAGATAAATGGGTTAAGATAAGTAGTAAATGGAGCCTGTGGTATACATAAATAGGACTAGGTCTAAGGTACCCAGTACTCCTACTAGACACTCAATATATGTGAGATATCCAAGCCCTCAAGATTTATAACATTACTATTCAAGAGGCACTGAATAGTCAAATACATAAAAGGTGAGTAACATTAGTCTTGAAGTCTTAATTAGATCACTCATTCTGTCCCCATGTGTCCTGTGTACAAAAACAAACAAACAAACAAAAAAAGCCCATGGGTGCTCCACAGGCCATCAGACAAAGGGCAGCTGTTTGCCAGTCTTATTCTCTGATATAGCAAGTGTGTGTGGTTGGCTCGGGATACCTGAGGGTCTCTGCTCAAATCCCCTCGTCTTCAGATCTGTCTTCAGAAAAGCTGATGATACAGAGCCATGCTGGGGAAGGGGTGTGAGGAGGATGGAGGTCCAAAGACATTGTGGAACTCAGGATTTAGATAACAGGCCTCTTTCACCAGGCTTGCAAACACACTGATGGCATTTGCTTATACCAGTTTTTCCATAGTTGCTTCTCCCGGTTTCTGGCTTTTTTTATTTTTTCCGTATTGGTGATTGAAACTTCACCACTGAGCTACATCCCCAGTCCTTTCTATTTTTAGATAATGTCTCACTATGTTGCCCAGGCTGGCCTCGAACTTGCAATCCTGCCTCGGCTTTTGAGTCACCTGGGCTCCCTTTTTGTTTTAAATTGATTTAATAAACTATGTGATTTAAACTTCTCAATCTAGTCTGTGAGTCTTTGTATTCAGTGTCCTCTGGGGAGCCTGCCTGGTAGTGTACTTGAAGACTTCTGTTGCATTTCCCATGTGACAATTCATGTCAAAGTACAGAATTCATGTTGGGGGTGTCAGGTCTCTGTCAGGCGTGTATGGTCTGCATTTATTCCTAACCATCTACTTTGATATTTATGTAGAAGCAAATTTTCATCATAAATCCTCTCCTTCCTGATATTATAATGTCCCATATGCCATCTCCATCTTCCTCTTCCAGTGTTGATTCAGTAGCCATGTGTTGAGTATTCACCAGGAGTGCCAGGAACTATCCTAGGTCCTGGGAGCTGAAAGGAAAAATAAGATCCTTGCCCAAAGGTCAAAAGCTACGGAATTGCATTAATGTATTCCGTGCAATGGCCTGGGGTGATCAGGAGCAGCTTGATTGATTTTTTTTTGTTTTTTTTTGGTACCAGGGATTGAACTCAGGGGCACTTGACTACACAGCCCCATCCCCAGCCCTTTTTGTATTTTATTTAGAGACAGGGTCTCACTGAGTTGCTTAGCACCTTGTTTTTTGCTGAGGCTGGCTTTGAACTCATGATCCTCTGCCTCAGCCTCCCCAGCCACTGGGATTACAGGCCTGTGCCACCGAGCCTGGCAGATGAAAGGGCATTTTTGATAGAAGGAGCACAGTGCTTTTCTCAGTTCTGAAAGACGCAGCTCAAGAAATTAAAGCCCTCTGGCTATCCTAGACTTCAACAAAGCGGGGCAGTGGATCTGTAGAAGCCATAGGTGTGTGACCAAGACCAGGGAAGTGCTAAGAATTCTGAGATGTCCTCAATTAAGTTGCAGGCCAGAGAATGCAGGGAGAAGAGAAATAAGGTCATTTTAACTCACAGCTTCAAGTCAAATAAAAACCTGCTACACATTTTTTCCCCCTGTATGCTGAATATTGCCCAACAAGGCCACATCTCGTTCTATTTTTGGAACTAACCAAGGAGTAGCAAAACTATTCTTTATGGACCAACCTTCTATCCTAGGACTTGGCACACTTTGTTATCCTGTCCCTCTTATGTATAGCCAATGTGGGTTCAATGTAAATGATTTACGTTTCTTCTCAAAATTTTATCATAAAACACCCCAACCCTTTAGGTGCAGTGAACATTTTCCCAGAGGCTGTTTGGACATGTTGCTGGTGGGTTAGGGAATTTTTTCCAGGAGGTCCAAAAACCTTTTGCCTACCATTCTGTGTAGCTCACTTATTTATTTTCAGAGACTTCTTAGTATCAAAAGTTTAAAGCAGGAAAAGGCAGGGAGAGGGTGCAGCCAGGGTAATCTCTCCCTCTTGTCCCTGACTTTGCAGGTTGTCTTGGTTCTTCCCTCTGCTGACTACCCCTTCTCACTCTGCATCTCCTTGTCTGTCTGGTGCATGTTTATGGAACACCCATTCTGTGCCAAGCCCTACATTAAATGCTGCATACCAGTTTTCCCTCTCATGGAGTGGGGAGGTGAACTTTGCCATGAGTAAGTCAGCATGTTAGGAGGTCTGTGCCACAAAGAAAAATATACTGTGGAGGGAAATGTAATTGAGTTGAAGGTTTTTTATGTTGTTGGGGATAAATGCCAGCTCGACACGTGCTCTGCTACTAAGCTACAACCCCAACCCTCAAGTTGCATTTTTATTTTTAGTATTTTTTAAAATTCTTTTATTTCCTAAGTAGCATTTTAATTTTTATTATTTTTTCTTTTATTTCCAAAGTTGCATTTTTTTTTTTTTTTTAATAGATGATCAGGAAGGGGCTCTGCTGAGAAGGTGACAGTAAAGATTTAAAGTGGATGAGGGAATGAGCAGGGAAGTTACCTGGGGAGAGGATTCTGGGCAGATGAATCCTCCAGGAGCCAGAAGGCTGGGGCAGCAGGAGCAAGAAGGAGAGAGAAGATAGGGCTGAGTCATGCTCAGGGCTTCCTAGGCCATGGCATAAGATAAAGGACCTACTGAAGAGTTTTAAGCTCAGGAATGACAGAGTCAGACTTATAACACGAATGCTGTGGACACTACTGCAAACACACTAAAGAAGTTAGGACTGCTCTGTCATTTAACAGTGTGACTTTATACTATCTGCCTCAATTTCCTCCAAGAAGAAAAGCAGGAGCTAATCCTAGTCCTTACTGCATAGGGTTGGTGTTAAAATTAAATGAGTTAATCTATATAAAGCATAGATTAGGATGGCATGTGCATATGCTGATATTACATGGCTTCAACATTAGATCAAGAAGCATGTGCCAGACAGGTAGATTGAAAAAAATAGGTGATTTTTTTTCATACTCTTTACTAATTTCTTGGAGCAAAGTTTATTGAATGGATCATTTTGCTTTTCAAACAAAGCTATAAACTACTTCTAAAATTGTAGAAATTGAAATTGTAGATACTTGATAGCCATGAACCGATTTGAAACATTGCAATTTGGGACTTGTTTTGGATTTTTTTTTTTTTTTGGGGGGGGGAGCTGTTAATCTGTAAAGTCAAAATATTCAAAGCTTCAAAAATGATAATGCTTAAATTGAAGGTTATGAGATTATGCATATCAATAATGGTAAGGGATGAAGGAGGGAGAAGTCATGGACGACACTAAATTTGTGTGTACAGTAAACGAGTGAATGAGTGTGCAGGAAACGCAGAGAAGGAAATCTGTAGTAGGAATAAAGAGAAAGCCATGCTGTGGACTCGTGACCCACAGATGTATTTAACTTACTCGGTCTCCCCCTTAGGTTTCTTGCGTGACCTCACTCCCTAAAACAAACAGAAACACTGCTGCGAGCCTCATTTCTCAGCCCAAGGCCACCACGTTCTCTGATGGTTGAAAGCGGCCCCTCACGGTTATCGGTCCTCCCCGATACCCGCATCTGGCTCACACCTCCGTTAATGGGGCCTTCAGAGTCCAGCCTCTATGCTCTTCTCCTGCCTCCACCTTCAGCCCTGCCCAGCGCACTTGACCTGGCGCAACACGCGTGTTAAACGCTCAGTCTCCGGCTTTAGTCCACTATAGTTTGGAGCTGGGTACGGGCCTTAACCCGCCCGGCGCAGACCCAACTCCCGAACCTCCAATCCAACTCCCCAGCACAGCGAGAGCCTTAATGCCCCGCTCATGCCCCCCCCCCCTTGCCTCCTCCCCCTGCGGTCCCCGAACACTGCGCGCGCAGCCACTTCACGCTTCAAACTCTGCCCCGCCTCCGGGAGGTGGCGCGCGCGCGCGCAGTGTTCTGCCCTCGAGCCCCGCCCCTTCCCGGGCCTCGCCCTGGGCCTCGCCCTAGGCCCCGCCCTAGGCCCCGCCCCACCCCGCCCCCAGACGCCCAGCGGGTGCCGCGACGTCCCGAGACCTTGGTTCGGACCTGCGTCTACTGTCCCTGCTGCTCGTGCGCCTCGTCCGCCGGTGCAGACCTTCGCGAGAGCTGCTCGGGTACTCGGGGATTATTCTTTTTTATTCCAGTTTTAAGTTTTGGGAAGACGCTCTGCTGCCAGCTGCTTTTCGCCCCCACCATCCTGGCGAGAGCTTTAGGCCGCGTCTAGGTGCTTTTCTCCTTGCGCATTTTCTGCTTTCCTTAAGATGGGTTGGGAGTCCTCCGGGCTCCTGAGCTCCGAGCACATGCTCACCTGTGTAGCGCTGTATTGTTTCGTTTCCTGGAGATTCCCCCCGCCCCCGCATTTCTTAAAAGAGTGCCACTTCAAACCCATGTCACGGCCTGACCTTTAGGCCTCCCCTTTCTGTGGAAACTTAATTCTTTAAACAGGACAAGAGGGGTATGCGTTGCTTTCAGTCTCGTTAGGCTCCATGAATGCCAAAAGTTTAAGAAAGGTAGGAGTTAACTTTTTTAAGGGCGCAGCGTTAAAGGTAATTATGGCTCGAATTTCCGTCTTTTATCGTCCCCTCCTCACAGTCTAAGGAGCAGTGAGTTAGATCCAAAGATTCCAAGTTTTACAAGCCTTGAGTATTGAAGTTCTTGGGGGCAGAGACGAAAAGTAGCATCCCACTTGTCCGCTAAAGAAATTAAAAAATAGTTGAACTTTAGGCTCAAAGAGTATTTGCTTTCTGAGTTAATAATAATGGTTAACTCATGAAAATGGTTAAATCGGGTATCTGTCCAGAGAGTCTTGCTCACTTTCTTGTGGGTCTGTTAGAAAGGAGCTTGTTGCAAAAATGGTTGGCATTGAGGGAGTGTTTACTGTGTGTCGGACATCGGACATCCTGCAGTGCTCACAACAGCTTTAGGAAATTAGTGCCATTGTTATCTTCATTGGAACTGAGGCTTGGAGAGGTGTAGCCTGAGACCCAGTTAGCTACCAAGGTCTTGAGCTGGAACTTGTACCTTCTTCTGACTGTTGGAGATCCAGGCTTTTAACCACCTCTGATCCAGCCCCTTCTTCACAGGTGCAGGCCTGGAGTAGTCTTGGCTGATTGCCTTGAGAGTGCAATGCAGAAGAACACTGGCCCAATGTAAGTGCACAGTCAACGACAGTGGAATAGCCAGGGCCTTCTAAAACCAGAGTTCCATCTGAAAAGAGCCCTAGAGTGGACTGCCTGGGAGCAGTATGGGGTATGAGTGGGTCACTGAACACATGGCTGGGAGCCTGGATTTGAGTCCCAGCACTGCTACTGACTAGTTGTGTTGACTCAGTCATTCACCTCTCTGAGCTTTACTTTGACTTATATAGTGGTAAGATTTGTCTGGAACCATGACTTTAATGATTTACGTGTTTTTTTTTTTTGTTGTTGTTGTTTGTTTGTTTTAAACATAGTTGACACTCATTTCTCCCTCTTTTATTTTCAGGGTGCCTTTACATTATTTTGGCTTTGGCTATGCAGCACTGGTTGCTACTGGTGGAATCATTGGCTATGCAAAAGCAGGTAAGAACTGTCACGTAGCTGCTTAAATTCTTCACGTTGCTTCATTGGAGAGTGAGCCCCTAGGCTCTCAAAGCAGCAATGTTGTGGGGCCACTTTGCCTTAGGCCCCAGAGCTTGGGTGCAACCAAAAGAGTCAGACTTCTGTACTTGCCTTTTGTTTATCTGGCCAAGCTGAGCCAGGCCTCTTGTTTTTGCTTCTTTATCTAACGATAAAGGCAGGGGTGGTATGGGTTGTTATTATCGTTGCCTGCCATACATCAGCCTTGACCCCAGAATGCCATCTCTGCTCCTTTCGAGTAGGATGAGACCTCTGGTCTTCACTTACTCTTTTAAGTTTTGTGCTGGGGCCAGAACCCAGGGCTTTCTTTGCTCGTGGTAGGCACATACTCTGCCTCTGAGCTGTAGCCCTCACATAATCATTTTTGAAGTCTCCTCATTAATCTACATGGGGGGGTATCAGTATGCTTGTTTGCCTGTGTCCCCACTTGGCAAGCATGCACTGGGATTCTTATTCTCTCTCGTTTGTAGTTGATTGACCCTATTTCCCTTTTGTGATTCTCATAAAGTCCCGCCTGTGCACAGCCTGTAGTGGGTTGATCAGCCTGTAATGGCTGTTTAAGAAAAAGCCTAACCAGAGATCCACCTAGGAGGGAAGGGCGCTGCTTCCTTTCTTGGATGGAGATGACCATTTCTCCTTAGATTGGAAGAGCCCTACTGTTAGAGGAGAGCAGAATGGGGCTTGAGACCCTGACTTCTCTGGTAAGATGGACGTTTTCCTGCTTAAGGACTCCTTGGTTAAGAACCATGTGAAGAAAGCTTCTCTTGCTCTGCTCCCCTGGAGGCCAGGGGAGACTGGATGATTTGGCAGATGAACCAAATGTCAGACATCATAATACAGCCATGTGTTTGCTTCCCTCCAGGTAGTGTGCCGTCCCTGGCAGCGGGGCTCTTCTTTGGAAGTTTAGCAGGCCTGGGTGCATATCAGCTGTCTCAGGATCCCAGGAACATTTGGGTTTTCCTAGGTATGTCTGCCCTGATGTCTCCATAGAGCATGTCTGTATCCATCCTTCGTTTTACCAGAAGGCCCTGGTTTGGTGGGATGTGGCAGATTCTTTACACTCACAAGTTTCCTGTCTCTGCCAAGGCCTAGGCAAATTTTAAAATGGGGATTTGTGCTGGTTTCTGTTTATCTTTCACGTATGGAATATGGAGAGCGTTTCATGTCTATCTTCCCTGAAAGACTAATTTTAAGCTTGCACAAGGTAGTATGTATCTATTACTCACTGCAGCTGGGTATTAACCACAGTCGGCTTGAGCATTATTGAATTGTCTGAAGTAGCTTTGCATCCATGTTGCGTTTTCCTATTTGAAAATCGCCTTGCTCTTTAGCGATCGGCTAATTGTGTAAGACATAGGCCTTGCCTTCAGGAAGCTCTCGGATCTAAGGAAGTCAGACACAGATGTAGAAATGTGGAACTGTGAGCAGTCCAGGCAGGGAGGAGTGTGGGGAAAGGGAAGATTACTTATCAGGGTGGCTTTGGACACTTATTTGTTGGGCTCCACCCAGGTGTCAGACACTGCGAGGATGCGAGTGCCTCCACAAGCCCACAGTGTATCAGGTGCTGCTCTGGCCCTTATGAGGGTGGGAGGGAGGACAGGCATGTTCACACAGTAGTCTGTGCACATCTCCCTGGGGAGCTCCCTTCCCAGCAATGGCTGGCTGGAGACAGGCTGGGAAAGGAGGATGTGCCTGGGCTCGGCTCTGCTGAACAGCTTCCTCATTCATGCTCTGGACTGACTGTGAGCCTGCTCTCCCCCATCTCATCCTCCACTCCCAGCACTCACCTCCTACCTACTTAAGGGAAAAACCAGTGGCCTCCGGGTGGAGACTGCCCTGCCTCCATGAGCCTCCAGGCCTCCCTTGCCCTGTTCCCCTCCTCTCCAGGGCAGTCCCTCCACCTGGGCTCTGATCTCCTCCCTACTTTCCAGACTGTGCACTATTAAGAGTCCCTCCTGTTATTTGTTTTCCCCCTTTTTGGTGGATCCCTCTTATTGGTGCTCAAATGTGCTCATCTCTCCCCCATTTAAAAAAGCAAAAGGACCTCTGGTGACCTACTTCCCTTTACAGTTGCTGGCTTTTCCTTCTTTTTCAGAAACTTCTCTAAAAATCCATTTGTACTTCATCTTTATTTCTTTCCATCTCACACGTTGTCAACCTGCTTCAGTCCCCATTTTTATCCCCCTTGTCCGTGGAAAGGTGTCCCTGAGGCTGCCAGTGACCTGCATTTGTGCAAACTCTACTGTCAGTCCTCGTTTTACATGGGCTGTTGGCTGTTCCCAGCACGTGTGACCTGTCATTTTCTGTTCCTGATTTTTCCTTTTGATCTTCTCATTCTCCTGTGTACCCATCTTCCTTTCTATCCATTAAATACTGATTCCTAAGACCTGGCTCATTTTGTCTTCTTTATACTCTCTTGACTTGACAATGTCATGGAAGATCGTTCATAAACACCAAAGACTCACAGGGAGTCACCAATGATGCCCTCCTAGCTGTGCTCCCATGTCAGCAGCTAGCTGGCTGAGTGGTCTTTAGCTGTCTCAGGGCATCTGCCTACACCTGGCTGCATGATCTCACTCACTAGGTCTTCTCTTCCTTTATTTGGGTCTTGGTTCTTCTCTTCCCGCAGCCTGTCTGGTATGTACTGGCAAGTCCTGTTAATACCAGTAGTACCCTAAATTGTCCCCTTATCTATCTCCACGGCTACCTTCTTACCCCCAGTTCTTCTCACCTCTTGCCTGTATTCCTGAAGAAATTGCTTCATTGATACCCGTGTCTACCTTCTGGTTTCTCTACGGTTTGTTCTCTGGACACAGCTAGAATTATATTTTGGGGCTACAACTCTGCTCACATGTCCCTCTGCTTAATAGCCTTGAAGGGCTGCTTGCTGTTAGGAGGAGGACCACAGTCTGGTGTGGCCTTCGGGTCTGCAGGTGGTCAGGCCCCTCCTCCTCACTAGCCATGTCTTCATGGGTGCCACAGCCACTTTTTGTTTCCTTGAGTGCACTGCGTTCCTCCTCCCCACAGTGCCTGTGACACGCTCTTCCCTCTGCCTTGCCTGAGCTCCCTGAAAGCCTGGTCCCCCATTATGTTATGTGTGTAGCATTAATTGTACCTAGAATACAAATTTTACTTACTTTTTGTATGATTCTTGAGTGTGTGTGTGGGGGGGTACTGAGGGCTGAACCCAGAGTCCCTCTACCTTTGAGCTACGTCCTCAGCCCTTTATTTTTTTGAGACAAGGTCTTGTTAAGTGGCCGAGGTTGTGCTCCCTGTGCCTCAGCCCTCCTAGTAGCGGGAGTTCCAAGTGTGCGATGGCTGTTACGTGGCTGGCTTGTGTGATTCTTTACCCTGGTTACCCCTGCAGACTCGAGACTCTGAAAGGGTAGAGACCCTGTTGATACAGTTGCCTTCTCAAGCACCAAGTGCTCTGCTTAGCAGTCGTCAGTGTTTGGATAGATCCCCAGCAGAAAGATGGAGAGGGAAGAAACACAAGGCATGAAAAAATCATGTAACATTTTGGACAAAACTAAGGCATTTATGGCTGAAGTGTGCGTTTTGCAGAAGAGTTTTGGGAAATTGAGGCCAGAAAGGCAGGCTGGGCCCAGCTTGTGAAGGGTCTTCTTTGGTCAGAATTTGTGCCTAGACCTTTAGAATGTGGGCAGCTGTGGAGCTGGCCCCGCCTGAGGCAGGAGGAGAAAGTGCAGGATGGGGTCAGGGCTTGAAAGCAGGGTGGGACTTTTGGCACTCCAATGCTCTTCTAGAAGATGCAAAGACTTTTGACTCTCTTTCACCAGCTACATCTGGAACCTTGGCTGGCATCATGGGGATGAGATTCTACCATTCTGGGAAGTTCATGCCTGCGGGTTTAATCGCAGGGGCCAGGTATGTCGCCTTCTGTTGCTCTTACTTACCAGGATGCCGTTCAGTTTATTGCCAGAGCTACTTTATACATTCAGAAATTTACATGTTTGAGTAAATTTTACCTGATCCTAGATGTCAACTCAAATTAATTCATACATAAATAGGACAGGCTTCAAGAGCAGTTATTGATTTATATGTCACAACGGTCTAAGGATCTTCATTCACTATGGAAATGGTTTTGCTTTTAAATTGCTCTCTGGTGGTCCAGGTGCCTTCCCACGGTACAGAAGCCTCAGGGTAAAGCTGTGACTGTGGCTGCCACGTGGCTTTCAGCCCGGGCTCCACATTTCTTGGTTGTATACTTGTTCTTTGATACTGAAAATACTGCTAAAAGGAAATTCTGATGGACTCCTCTGTTTTGTAATCAACTTTTATTATCAAAAACAAACACAATTGTCTTAAATATTGTAGTCCTTGCATATAATAAAGACATCCTGAAGGCAAGGGAATTTTAAAAAATCTGATTCAGAAAAAGTCATGGTCCCCATCTTTGGTCGTAGTACGCTGTCTGTCAAGCAAGGGCTGTAAACCGACTGGAGATTTTGCACTAATTAGCTCTGTGACCTGGGAGAGCTTGATTTCTCTTGCCTTCAATTTCTTCATCTCTTCATGTTATTGGCAGTTGGATTGGAACCACATGCTGTTCTCAGACCTAAGTGCAGTGTTGCTGTGTGGTGCTGTTTCCTTTTTCTGGTTTCTTCCCAGGGAGGATTGTTCCACCTTGGTACCTCCCTTCCTGTGCAGCTGTAAGGGAGAGCTGTGACCTGCAGAGTACTAGTCCCTTAAAAAATGGTCACCTGTTCTGTCCTTTTCCTGATGTTTTTTGTTTGTGTTTCTTTTGAACAGTTTGCTGATGGTTGCCAAACTTGGAATTAGTATGTTAAATAGACCCGAACCATAGGGTCACATCCCAGCTTCGACTCACGAAGAATTAGAAATCTCCAGACTTCCACTGTTCTCAGTGTATTGAGGGAAAGAAGTGCAGCACATTTACACGCTCTGACATTTTACTTCAAAAACTAAACCAAAACAACACCAAATTCGCTGGGGGGAAAAATTAGTCATTACTGTCACAGCCCTTCAAAGGTGGCGACGATATAGCACAAGAGCTTACTGGCTCCTTTGTATGGTTCAATTCATTGATGAAATCAGGGTATTAAATGTGAGGTGTCAACATTGGGAGTCCTGAAACCCAGAAGAACAGTATGAAAAAGTGTCATGGTGAGATTTCAGATGTGTGTTCTTTTTTCATTTTACAGCACAGCCCTACTCTGAAATTATGTAAAATGAAATATCAGTGAAAATAAATTTTACTATAAATAACATTTTCTTTGGTGTCTTCTTTACCAGAGCTGTCAGAAATATAGAAGGAGATTGGAGATTGGATAGAAATATAGAAGGAGATTGGAAATATAGAAGGAGGTAAATGTGAAAGTTTTTTAATTGCCCATTTTGAATAAGGACCAAGGATAGTTATTTTGGTATACATTGCCTGCGAGTTTGTTTTAATAATGATCTCTGAGGATTTCTAAGATAAGAACTATCAGAAGGAAAAAAAAGAAAAAGAAAGAAATTTTGCTTAAGTAGTTCATCTATAAATGTGAAACTGAAAGACCTATCCAGAGCTTGAATTACCTAGCATTGGACACAGTGACTGGATACTGGCACATTTTATTTTACTTTATTTGAATATGTTCATTATTGAGAATTAACCTACTAACCTTATCCCCTGTTTGGTTTTCTTTCTTTTTTTTTTTTATAGTTTTGTTTTTTTTAATTACAGTGCTGGGAATTGAACCCAGGAACATTCTACCTTTGAGCTACTTCCTCAGCTCTTTTCATTTGAGACAGGGTCTTGCTAAATTGCCCAGGTTGGCCTTGAACTTGGCAATCCTCCTGCTTCAGCCTCCTGAGTAGCTGGGATTATAGTCACACACTACCAGGTGGTTTTTCCCTCTTTAAAAAAGGAAAGGCTAGCCAGGCATGGAGGCACACACCTAATCCTGGCAACTTGGGAAGCTGAGGCAGGAGGATCACAAGGTTGAGGCCAGCTATAACAATTAAGCAAGACTCTCAGCATCTTAGACCATCTCAAAAAATTTTGAAAAGGGGCTGGAGATGTAGCTCAGTGGGAAAGTGCCCATGGATTCAGTCCTCAGTACCAAAAAAAGGGAGGTGGGTACTTACTTCTCTCTTACATTGGTTGAATTGAGTGTTTAATTCAGGCACTTAGGTATTTGCTTAAACTTTTTTTCTTTTTTTGTGATACTGAACCCAGGGATTTGGGCATGCTAGGCAAGTGTTCTATTGCTGAGCCACCTCGAGCCTGAAAGTGGCCCCAGTTCCCTCATCCTTTTTTAATGTGACATCCTTTTTTAATGTGACATCCTTTTTTAATGTGTACCTTCACCTTCCGGCTCTCCAGACAGGATGCTGCTTGACAAGGCCGCCCTTAAACCACAGTGCCTAGAACTTTGTGAGGGAAGTGACCAGGGTACTGTATTCTGGATATATAGTTCTGTTAATGTAGCCAAGAACAAAATGAGAATTTGGGCAGCCCCATCACAACACTGACTCATTAAGCTTTTGGTCTCCTGGGACCCAGGTGCTATGGACAGTGATCACTATAGTGAAATGATTGATGGTTGATGGCAAACACTTGCAAATACTTTAAATTAGAAATGATTCCCCGGTTTCTAATTTGAATTGCCTTTCATCATATAGTTAGTTGTACCAAATTCATGATTTAATGTGGGAGCCATTCTGAATGATTTGCGCTTTCCATCCTGAAGCGAGAGGCTTTGACCAGTCACTACCTTTTGTAGTGACCTGGATGTTGTCCTGGTCCAGGAAGTAGAGGGTGTGTCTTTAGATGTGGGAATGTCACCCTTGGAGTTGAGCTACACTCACCTGTTCCTTTGTAATACTACCCCTTTGCCCTGTTTGGGATAGAAGTTTCCATGGAAATGCCCATTGGGTGTCCCCTTCTCTTGCTCTGCCTTTGGGTGTGGCCTTCCTAGATGTCAGTCAACCTGTTGACAGCAGACATCAGGAAGCTAGACCCAATCCCCTGAAACCTGACCCCTTGCCTCATTTGAATGGCTTCTTTTCAATAAAAGGGTTCAGCACGTGGTGCTCTCTTGCTCTCTTTCTGTGGACCCTTAAGGTCAGAGGAGCCGCCACAGGACCCCAAAGAAAAAGGTATCCCTGCTTCTTGTGTGGTTATTTCGTGCAGCTCAGTTCTGGAGTGACCCTGAGTGTTTTAGTCGTAGGAACACAACAGTTTAAATAAAGACAAGGGCTGGGAATGTAACTCAGTGGTGAAGGGCTTGCCTAACATGTGCAAGGGCCTGTGTTTGATCCCGAGCAACACACACACACACACACACACACACTGATTTGTAAACAGTTCAGTGGTGTGAGTTCAGCTTCCTGCCCTGGAGAGTCAGATTACTTGGGTAATGTGATAGGTCGCTCTTGCCCAAAGCAATGGAACCATTTGATTTTAGACTAGAACTTCCAGATCCATGAGCCAGGCAAGATACACCTTTTCTCTAAATGTTGGTCCTGTATAGAATAAAGGAAAAGGGGCAGAAGAAGTCAGGCAAATGCCTCATTGTCCTTTGGATATTTTAAAAATAGATGTTTATGGACATGTATTTGGGAGGAAAGAAACAACTGGTTGAGATCCTGAGTATCACAATGGTGGGGACACCTGGAGGTGGTGCAGGTGTTTCTGAGTGGTATGGGCTGGGCGTGTAGGGGGCGGCGTGGGAAGGTGGCCTTCATCTTTACACCTGTATCCCCAGACACTTCCACTGTGTGCAGACCAAGGGGAGGTGACTCAGTTGTGACTTACTGCCCTCTGCCAGAATTTGGATGTGTCCCCAAAGGTCGTGTGTTAAAGGCCTGGCCCTAGTGGTGGTGCTATTAGGAGGCGATGGAACTTTTAATAAGTGAGGTCCAGTGGAAGTCCTTAGGTCACTGGAGGAGTGCCCTAAAAAGGGACTGTGGCATCATGGGACCTTGGCCTCTTCCTCTTCTTCCTGGTTCATGAGGTGAGAGATCTCTTCCACCACATGCTCCTGCATGATGTGCTTCTCTCACCAAAGGCACAGAGAAATGAAACTACTTGATTTTGGACTGGAACTTCTGGATGGTGAGACAGCTTGGGCAACTTAGCAAGACCCTGTCTTGAAATGAAAATTGCTGGGGACGTGGCTATGTGGTAGAGTGTTCCTGAGTGCAGTTGCCAGTACTGCAAGAAACGACTGTTTCTACCTGTATATTCTTGTAGTTCACCAAACTTATTTTTCACATGGAAAGAAAGCTTATTTAATTGGACATGATATATAGCTGCTGACATTTAAAGCATATTCAGTTCTTCATCATGACTTCTTTACAATTTATTCCCTTTTTTTTTTTTTTCCTTTTACTGGAGATAAACCCAGGGGAGCTTAACCACTGAACCACATCCCCAGCCCTTTTTATATTTTGCTATAGGGTCTCACTAAGCTGTTTAGGGCCTCACTAAGTAGCTTAGGCTGGCTTTGAATTTGAGATCCTCCTGCCTCAGCCTCCCGAGCTACTGGAATTACAGGTGTGCACCACTGTGCATGACTTAATTGTGTTTTCAGTAGATATTTTAAATCTGTTACAATATTAAATGATTACTGAATTTCAGTCGTATCATTAGACCTCCATTTCTTTCGCATTCATTTTGGTGTTTTATTGGTTTCTTCAGGAGGTATTGCAATTCCCTCATTGCTCATAATCCTTATTATGTTCATGCATTTTTGTCTGTGCATTTGCCCTGTCTTGGCCTTTACAGGTGCTCTGTGGCAGGGATAAACTTCACTGTTTAGTGAGCCTGGAAGGACCACTTGGTGACAAGCCTATTGTGAATTCTGTAGTTGGCTGAGCCACTAACTTCGCTCTGATGCTGCGTGAGATCATTGGCTGGGCTTTGCTTTGAGGCAGAGCTGGGTACAGAGATGGCTCTGGGTCAGTATAGATTCCCTGGCTGGGCATCTTGCTGTTGGGGTCTGCAGTTGGGCAGGGCTGCAGGCTGGACTCCAAGGTTAGGTTGTTTCTTTGGATGGGCAGGGCCAGAGGCTGTGCTCCTTAGAACTGTGCAGTCCAGGATTGCCTCCCGGGTGGAGCCCTGGTGTACAGGCTTTTGACTGAGCTGAATGGCAGTTTGACCTCCTGGATCAAGCTGGCCCTGCCTCCTCTTTCTCTGAAATATATCGTGGCAGAAGTCTCCTTGCCTGGGTGAGGTCACTGGGGAGGCTTTTTGGCTAAGTGAAGCTGTTGCTTGACTTCCTGGATCCAGCTGGTCTGTCCCCTTCATTTTCTTGAAATGCACAGGGATGGGCATCTCTTTGCCTGGGTCATTGGAGTGGGCTCTGAGGCTAGGCAAGGAGACAAGCAGTCTAGACACTTAAGCTAGGTTGGAATTCCCACTGTGCTCTGCAGCTCAGCTTCACAGGAGATGCTGGGCTGTGAGGTTCCCGGTTTCTCTAACTGGCACCACAGCTGGCAGGAACTGGTAGGCATGAGCAAGATGCACACCCAGGTCGCCTTGCCCGCTGCAACCCTGGTGGTCTAATCATGCCCTTTCCTCTAATATTTCCTAATGAGGGGGGCTGGAGTGGGCTTCTTGGGAGGCATCTCAGAATGCCAGGGACACTGCACGACTGGCTTTGCTTCTCCTTTCCCCTGTGGAAACAGTGGCCCAAGGACATCTGCCTGGTGGTGTGTTGATACCAGTCTTCAAAGTCAGGATCATTCCCCCAGTGCTGAAGGTGAAGGCCAAGGCAAGGGCAGAAAGTAACAGGAGAAAGAGACACACACTCTCTCCTCTGGAGAGGAGGGAGCCCAGAGCTGGTGCCCCAGGGAGTGGGGGTGTTTTGCCCTTTCTAAATTTTAGGTTTCCTTTCTTCTCATGCCTATGTGATCAAAAGGCAGGAAGAGAGCCTTCTAGCGGGTGGTTGCTTGTGTTGGAAAGTGCACGACCCTTTACCTCCCCTGGAGGCTGTTAACAGGGTCCTTGGGAAGTGCTGTCTACCTGTTGCCTTTTCTTTGATAATGAGCTACCTCTCCTTTGCCCTGGTCTCACAGACATGAGGCACAGGGAGCTGTGGAGTAGGCAGGGTAAGGCTTCTGTTGTGGATTTTGTCCTGTTCTGCAGGCCCTGTGGTGTCTCAGGCATGTTCACATGTAGTGGGTTTTCAAAACGACGTTCTGGATGATTGCTACTTGAACCTTCTGAGAGGTGATGGGGAGCCTGAGATGTCCTAGTTCAACACCTTG